TCTGCTGGCCCCTACCCTTACCGTCCCACAGCCCCTCTCTGTCTGCGTCTCCCTCACGCTCTCTTTCTCTCGTTCGCCGCCCCCCGTTTCAACCCTCCGCGACTGCTCGTTGGCTGTGCCGCTGCCACTGCTGCTGCCTGTCCGATGATTCCCTCCTACGATCCCTCTTTTCGCCCGGGATTCCGCGCCGTTGTCTCTCCCGGTTTTCGTTCAGAGGAAAGCCGAAAGGAGACGCGGAGAACGGGAGAATTAAAACGGTGTCGCGGAAATGGAGGAACGCTCTTGCTGCGATTCGGGGCTGGCGGGGGGTTCAGTGGTCTGGAGAGTTAATTCTTGGAGGTTGAAGCTTTGAGGGTTGACGAAGATCGTTTCGATCGAAGGGCTTGCTATGATTGAACGAAATATTGGGTCACTAATGCGTTCGTTCGATTGTTTTGCGTATTTGTAACAGAGGTGATGTGCGATTTGTAACTTGATAATAACGTTTTCGTTGGTTAAGTTCTAACGAGGGTAGAATAGTAAAACACTATGTAATAGTAATTTGACGAACATTGAAAGATTATCTAAATTTCTATTTCATTTCTAAACTAGTGAAATGATCAACTATATCTAGATTTTATATACTTGGAAAAAAGAATTCCAATATTATGAACCTCCAACCCAGCAACCCCCTAACTCCAACCTATTATTCATTCCAGTTTGCCCGATAAAAACGAATTACTTTTAAATAACATACAAATGAAGGCACAACAATGACCGCGGAAGGTCTCGTTGCCAATGGGGGTGGGCAAATTCGAATCGCGAAAGTTCACCGCGCGTTGGGATCGCGAAAGTCCGCGCCGGTCGTTGCGGCACAATGACATTTATGACGAATCGTTACACTAATGACATTCGCGGAGCACCGGCGGACAATCGTGACTAATTGTTATTGTTTCTTGTTGCGGGGGCCGCGAGCGCAGCTACCGCGCGGCTTATGTCCACCGATATGATATAACGCGTTGTTTATCGCGCGGTCGGGAGCGCGGTGTTGGATGCTGGGAAGCGGCGGCGGCCGCGGCGGCCGGGAGAGAGGGCTCCCGGCGAATTGTAAAGATTACGCCCGATGTTTATGCATTTATGCTGAATTATTGTCGGCGGGACTTTACCGATGTTTATGCTGATTTACGCTTTGTGCTATCTGCCGGGACACATTGTCCCGGAATTATTATTCCGCTGCGTCACTCTCGCCGCGAGGAACCGAAATTTCGGATTTCGCGAAATTTTCGACTCCACGGCCCCCCCCAGCGGTTCCCAGCTGCCCCACCGATTCGTCATTCTCCCTTATTCGAACCGCTGATTCGAGCTCGAGCGTTCGTTAAACGAGATTTTATTATTTCGACTTTTTCCGAAATGTCTTCGACGATGTCCGTTTGAAATTCGAATTTTGGAGAACCTTATTGAGAAAACAGAATTGCGGTGAAAGGCAGTTTATCCTTTGTGTTTCCAATCGGAGATTGCGAGACTCTCGAACAGGAAGTATATTTTTCTAAAACACAATTTATTGAAGTGACGAGTAACTTAATTCTGATGACTGTATTTTGAACCCATCCGAATCTATGATAGTGAAATTTATAATTCTTTATAATATAAAGAAAGACACATGTTCTTGTCTGAAACTCCATACACACCAAGAGACGGCTAAGACGACCTACAATAATCATTCGAAAAAAGTGGATCGTACAAATCTCGAAATAATATCGTAACAGACACCCCTAGCTCGGGAGAAGAAATCGAATGTAACGCAGCTTATTGGGCATATCACGGGAACACACGTCGGATATCAAGCTCGAAGCGCCGCTGCGAAGTCCCTTCGACGGAGTGCTCGAAATAATTCGAGTGTGCCCCATTGTGCAGTAGTTTCCGGGAGGATTCCCCGCGAAGCGAGTCGCGGAAGGCGGGGAGGGGGACAGAAAGAAAAACGCGAAAAAAAAGGGAAGAGTCCCTGGTCCGTGGGGCCGGCCGTCTCTCTCGCTTTCTTTTATCTACACGAGGCGAAGCATAAATAAGGACTGCGTTTGTGCGCCTCTTGGATACATAATGGAGTATTATGTGACGTAGATACCGCGGGGCTCTGACTCTTCCCTCGCCCCCTGGCCCCCACACCCTCAGCCAGCCACGAGAAGCGTCGGCTGCGCCTCGAGCCCGGGGTGTGTGTACAAGATATTTACTACAAATACCCATGGTGGCCCGTATCGTGTTCTAGCACCATGATAATACGTCCCTTTGTACGGATAACGGTGTCGAGAGCAAAGTTTACTGAATCCTGAAGTGTCTCGTCGCGCGATTCTTCGCGTGATAACGCGCGCCCCTGGATTATCGAAGGTAGATACCGGTGCAATCATTGTCTAAGCAAGAGGACTACCCTGTGGGAAGGTGGATTTCACGTCACCGTTCGGGTTTCGATAGGAACTCTTCGTTTATTCGTAGGAATATCACTGGTTCGTATACGTAGGAACTCCTCCGGCGCCGTGTATTTATGGGATTAAAATATATTTATAACGCGTTTCGCGAATCCCGCGAACACCGTCGCACGTTAAACGTTGCTCGGATTACGCTGCCCGACCCCTCGGAAAACTATTACGTTCCCTATCGCGAAACTATTCAATTAAGCCACCCCTGCTATGTTCGAAGGCAAACTACCCCTCTGACCTGACGATTGCAGATTCCACGGTGGATCCGCGATAACGAGGGATGATGAGAGATTGTCGGTGGAAAAATTCGGATTGCGGACGATTGAGACGGGATTTCTTTACTGCGGCTGCTTAGCGTATCGATCGTGGATATTGTCAATATAAAAATTCAATATTACCTTTGCGCTTAAAGGAGAACAACAATCGAAAGCAGGGAAGAGTCGTAAGGATATTCGCGAATTCCTTGTTCCATTCTGAAATGCTTCCTAAACTGAAAAGGAATATGATTACTCTGCCAGAGAATTCGAATTCACAGATCCGATCGCTAAAAGCAACAAATCATTCGATCTTGAGTCGATCAACAGAAACAACCTTTTGATTCCAGGGCCCTCCACATGAAGGAGCATCCAGACTACAAATACCGTCCCCGCCGGAAGCCGAAGTCCCTGGTGAAGAAGGAAAACAAGTTCGGCTTCTCGATATCGCCGCTGATGTCCTCAGGTGAGACTCTGAGCAACATATCGAGAGGCCTGCTGCCGCCGCTGGCACCTCCGTCGCACCACACGCTGATGAGTCACGAGGACCTCAAGATTCCCCGTTTCTTCCCGCCCTTTCCGTATCCCCTATACCCAATCCAACACAAGCTAGGAGAAGAATTCAACGGTGGCAAACTGGCTGCTGACCTAGCGTTCCAGGCGCTGTACGGCGGTAGCACGTTCTACTCGAGCCACCAAACGATGTCCTGGCCCAGTCTATCGACGACTACCTGTCTTCAGCCGAACTGCGGCTGTCCGAGTCCGCCAAAGGATCCAAAGAGACCTTATCTGCCCGGCAAGATCGAGGAGAGACCGTTCCCCAGCCCTGGCAAGCAGGAGGACGACGGTTTCCCATCAGACAGAGACTCCAGCAGAGAAGAGTCTAGATACAGGAAAGTGGAAGAGGATAGTTTCTCGCCGTCAGCGGACAGGCATCAGGAAGACAGGTCCCAGGATCGTTTCTCGTCGTCCTCTTCGTCCTCGCCTACCGATCAAACGGAGAAAGTGGTCGGCCATGTTGCCCCGAGTACCGCCAAAGTGGAGAACGCTTTCTCAGTTCAGAATCTAACATCCTCTAGCTCGAACTTAGGCGCTCATCGCGGACACGTCATATGAAGGCCGCTTCCGGTTCTCCCGGACTTCAATTTCCGGGGGAACCTGGTACCACCTGGATGGCCGACTACCGACTGGTGGAGGGTACCGCCGATGCTGTCGCCCATCCCGCAGGCGACCGTCACAAACCTGACCGCGCCGAAGGAGGACGAGGCGCAGTTCCAGGACGACCAGCAGAGGAACTCTGTCATGGCCAGGTCGAGGAGCATCCATATCGCTAATGTACAGTGATCGGTGACTACGGAGAGTACTTAAGGAAGAGAATTTGTTAGACTGCTCGAAGGAGATTGACTTGGCACGGTAGCTAACAGCAGGTGCAAGAATCGAGGAAGTGTTAGAAAGATGATGTTCCGAGAGGACGAGGTTCGGACACTTTGCCAGAACTTAGAGGATCCGAAGGAGCCTCTCGCGTTTTGTGATAATTGAAACGCCCAAATTCCCTGCCGTACAGCATGAGAAAGTTTGCATAGTTGGACAGTTGAAATTCCCGAAGGTCTAGTTGCAGAATCCAGAGTTGGCTAGCAGCAACTGGAAGGTCCAATGTACGAAATACGGAAAGACAGATTCTAAGAGTAGCAATCGAGAACCGTGAAGACGAGGCGTAGGACTTCGAAAAGAAAAACCTGTTGCGTTATGAGATCATTTCACCGGTCAGCATCATCTTTTCTACAGTCGTCCACGGTGAACTCTGAGCCTAGAATTCTCGATGACGATTAGGCACGGGAGCCACGCGAATTTTCAAGAGAAATCACCGTTACCGATGGAAACAGGAGCTCGCAAAGAATTCGTTATGCGAGGCCGACGATGGGACACCAAAGTCGAATCGATAACTCGCCACGGCCGAAATCCCACAAAGAGAGGCGAAAGGGTCTTTTCTGCTAAAGCGTGTACAGAGAGACGGCGCAGGATGCCAGAAGAGTCCAATTTTGATGAGATAACCAACCCTCTCGGTGGCACATATTACGCCCGCGCGCATGCAGAGAAATACACACGCGCACACACATCCGAACACGCACGAACACATACACGGGGATAGAAAGAGCGGGCTCGTAACGGGAGGAGGGAAAAAAAACCTCTTCGGGAGAGAGCGGAGGCAAATCTCTTCTTTGGTAGCCGGCCATGCGAAATAAGCCAAACATTCTGAATGCTAACGTAGATGCGACAGCGGACCTGTGTACGCGTTTCAACCCCCGCCCCCCTCGAAAACCCACCCCGCGAGATGATTTCATTGCGCGGCGGCGGCCGGCCGTTGCGCATCGATACTGCAACTCTCCAATATTTCCTCTTTCTTCGAATGAAGCTGCGCCATTCGTCCCTACCTTTCTCTTCTCCGCGGACGCTTCTCTGCGCTCGTAATTGCTCGCACTTTGAAGGGTCATTTTGGTAAAATGTTCGAAGACGTGAATGGTATTTGTGATATCTCGATGTGTTATCTTTTTATGCGTTGATTGTTTCCTTTATTTTTAGATTGAAACGGATGTTGGTTTGGAGTTTGAAAATGTTGGTTGATTGTTACGAGTTTCTTTGAGTGGAAGAGGATTGCTGAAGTTATGGGTGGTTTTTATGGATCACATCGGAATCGGTAGGAGAGGTTACGATAGTACAAGTGGAGAAATGCAAAATTAGTAATTTTATTACGTGTTCTACTTATTTGAAGTATCACTGTTCGCTTGTGCAGATGATTGTTGATCTTTATAAAGATTGCTTCATGCCTCTTCTACGTTAATTGAAATTAATAGAGAACATACAATTTTTATTAACGACTCCATCCAGTCGCAAAGTGACCAATTTGCTCAGAATTCGATTCGAAAACCTGCTCCTGCCACAAACCTCTTAACATTCAATCGAATTTCCATGAATCTTCACAAAAACCACCCATAAAGCGGTCTTCGCTCTCTGTTAAAACAACCGAAACAAGGAAAAAGGCAAGTCATGCTTCCTTTTTACTCCCCAGATGAGCGTACAGCATAATTAATTCAAGGGTCCGCAATTAATACGACAGTCTATAATCACGAACGCGAGCGCGCGCGAGCGTCGAATAATCGGCCGATACGAATAAACTGTTCAATCTCGCGCAAATTGTTTGCATTCTACCAGCGAATTGTTGAATTCGTTATGAACCGGCCCGTCGCATTGTCGCAGTTTTATCGGGCTGTCGATTTTTCCGGCGATCGACGCTCGCGACGCGACCGTTTGTCCGCGCTTTTCCAAAAATGTTGCGCGCCCACGGGGCCGTTCGCGCTTGGCCCGTATTTTCACCGAAATTTTCGACACCCGCGACACAAAGACCAACCCGTGCTGTCAGCAGACCAGAATGGAGACTAATTTCCCGCGGACACTTTCGCCATAGCGTGAGAAAGAGAGAGAAACAGAGAGAGACAGAGAAAGAAGGGGAGGAAATAACAAAAAAAAAAATGTATACTAAATCGTAACGATCGTAGGAAATCGGCGTGTCCCGTGGCATGCGCACGGGAACGCGCGGATTTCAATGTAATTGTAAAGCGTATCTAAAGGATAGGACACGTATCTTTCCAGTTTATTCACGTAAGTTCCTCGGCCATCGTTCGTTGCCGTGAACGAAGAACGAAGACAGTAGAGATCGTATAATCCGTCGAGTTTCACATTTTAACCGGGGAACGCGACTTCGCGTTCCGATCATCCCCACCACTGAGACGTCACGCACGTAATTATTGTTAACTATTGCTGTAATATAACGCGACGTTTGTAAATAAATTGAAACTTAACCGAACCGCTGGCTGTTTTTATTTCGTGTGGAATGGAGTCCTCGCGGAGGAAGAATTTTGATGAAAATCATTGGTGAAACCAAAGAGATTTTTCAATAAACAATCAGAAAGTTTGCAATGAAATCTATAATACTAAAGGTTGTAATAATATATCTGCCATGTACCTTTATTACAAGCATTCAAATTTTCTTCACGAATTCAGTCTCCACTTTTGCTACTTTTTCATAGAGAAATTAATTGAGACTGTTCGAAGTTCTATTAAATTACACATGAAAAGGAACTTCTCTATATTAAAATTTATATTTTACTGCTCCTTCGTTTATCGCGACTATCTTGGTATACTATATACCTGCCATCGTCGATAAAGTAACGTGATATGTTCGCGTCGAGAATCGATTCGCGAAGCGTTTCATGAAAATAGCTTCCATTGAATGGGTCCTTGACACCGGAGCTCGAGAGGACTCGATCGAGGAAGATCAAGCGTTTCACGTAGAAGAGACACCTAAGAGTTCGCAGTGCTAATCGGAGGCTATGTGCAGGAATCGTCGCCGAGGAAAATCTCGAATCCCGAGGTGGGAGAACCTCCACGCCTCCCCTACGACCCTTGAACCACCCCTCCGTTGCGTCGTGTTTTATTTCTGATAGCGACGCCTCCGTCGCCGCAGCGAGGACATTATCGCCACCGCGAAGGACCCTTTCTTCCCCCATAAAGGCAATCACGCTTTCTTCGTGGCGAGATAACAGCAGAATGGAGAGCCAGAAACGTCTCCGTGCACACGAGCGAATTTCTGGACGATTCTATAATTCTTCGCTCGCTCCGAATCAACGAGCTCCGCGCGATCCTTGCGGCTCGTAGGATTTTTCGAAACCGTTTCCTTTAGGTTCAAGGACAATTATCTGCAAATAGATTTCGCCGAATGAAAAATATAATTGCAATCGTGTAACGAAGATAGTGGAAACATCGATCAACCCTTTATTCTATAAAACGAAAAATTGATATTGAAGCAGATATGATTATTCAGCTTATATCGAAGGAACGTACTGTTCTCTAGTTCTCAAAATTCCTGTTTACTTGTGTAATTTCCTTCTTCGCTGAAAAATCATTAACAGTAGAGTAACATTTACACCTAATCCAGAGACATAAACCCTCGACTTACTTTGAACGATCTAAAAATTCTTCAATTCACGTCAATAATTTCCCCAAAATCGTCAAACAGATCCTCGAGCTTCCAACATTGTTCCAATCCAGAATCCCCCAGAATCCCCATCCAAAGGAACTCGCTCGCAAGCTAGGCCAATTCGTAGAAAAGAGAGAAATACTTACGAATTCGCTGCCCCACCCCCGCCTTTCCCACAGGCGTCACGCTTAGCCCCATTTGCAAGATGAACCCCGCCGATTCCACCCCACGTTCGCTCGTCAGTCCCGCTCGCGGTCGAACGCCGAAAGTCACATCCCTCGGAAAAATCCATCGGGTTATAGCGATTCTGTCCTAGAAAAGGGGAAGAGGCGTCTTCGCGCTGGCGAGAAGTTTTCCACGGTGTGCACAAAGGGCGCGAGGCGGCGGCGGCGCAGCCGGGGTGCGAGGGGGTTGGCTGGGGCGTCGACTGCCGGCCAAAGGAGTCTAGGCAGCTCTCCATTAGTATGCGCGGAAGTGCCGCTCGCTCGATTGTGGGAGGCATTGTCGGGGAAGAATGTCCTCGTTGCTGAGCTCTGTACCAGCGGAGACTGGCTTCTCGGTAAGGAGGCACGGAATCCAAGTCAAATGTAATCACTTTCGAATCGGAACACCCCGCCGCTCGCGCGCGCGCCGCGTCTATGTACTCACGGATCTCCGTTGCTCCCGGTCGTTCCGGATCTTGAGGATTTTAAACGCCGCGGACGCGTATCGCGCTGCGTTAACACTACTCGCTGAATAGCTACTGGATTCTGATCGGTGGTCGTATCGACGTATGTTCGAACGTCTGCCAAATCGAAATTTTTAATTCCTCGATACAGGAAAATTGTGAAGTTCAGTATTTAATACTGAGCTTTGTGAACGTGAAATATTGGAATAGCTTCGGAGATTAAAATAGAGGTTTGTGGTTCTCGTTGAGGTCAGATTTGGATTTGTCGAGTTAGGAAGAAGATGTTGCATTGTAGTGTGAATGATATTGTTTGTGAGATCGGAGATTAATAGTTTCAGGTGTTCTTGATTCTTAGGGAATTGGGGAATTGTTTCTCAATTAGCAGCTTAGGGAATTACGATGTATAAGAAGAAGATTGTAATGTTATAGAATGGTAACTGCTGGATAGTAGCAGGTCTAAGAAACTACAATATACCTCAAACGAGAGGAACAGTAGCATCGATACCTTGTATCAGCGATCTTTCAAAGATGTCGATCATTTTCGAAGATTCGAGAGCAAGGAATCGGATAATGTCGGAAAGAAGGCGTCGCGTAGCTAGACACGTTAATTGCGCCGGTGCGTAATTATATAAACGCCTTTGCAGTCGCAGCCGGGACACGGGGGAGGGCCGAGCGCGTCGCACGAATCGTTTGATTGCGGAAAATGACGGGCGACGATGGCGCGAGTGGAAGTTTTGAGTGGGCGTCGGTCCTGGCAGACAATGAGGCATTCAGGGGTGGCATTGTCAGGCCGACAACTGTGTTACCGTAGACAAACCCGAAATCACCGGCGCTATCGCCGTCCCAGATCCGATTATGCAAATAATAAAATGCAGTGAAACGGGGGTTGCATCGAAGAAGGCTGGAAGAGGGTTGCGAGAAGTTTGTTAATAGCTTCAGTGTCGCGTGACCGGGCTACTATCTTCTCTAATTTTTAATTTTCGTTAAACGGCTTACCTTCGTTTCCACCTTCTCGTCAAACTATTATAAAATCATCATCCGTCGAAAGCTACGGGGCTAAATCCTGATAAGTCACTATTGAATACCATTTGAACTTCCTCCTCGACCAATTAAGCGACATTAAAAGTAAAACGAAACAATCTAAACTATCATTATAAATCTGGATTAAATTATTATCTGAAGTTCGTACAATTAGTCCACGAAAATCCATGAATATCGCCTGAATCCTCGGTACTTACGAAAAGTCTGCTATTGCTTAGCCGAGGTTGGACGGACGTTACGTTCCCCGATTATGCCAGGAGACGATTAATACGCTATCGGCGAATGTTTCCGGATTACACGTGTTCCGGGCCGGTGCGAATCAATTGGCAAAAGTGGGTCGGCGCGAGTATTCGTCTGGAAACTGGGTAACAAGGGCGATCATTGGTCGAGGACCGTCGGGGAACGGATCCGTGGAGCAGCGGTCTGAGCCGAGCGGCCAGAATGCCGGATATAATTATGCATTAAGGGTCGTCAAGTCCGGCTGAAGTTGGTGAACTTGGTTAATTAGGAACGGCAGTCAGACGCCGCCCGGCATTGTCCGGTACTGTTGACTTCCGGCCTCTTCTCGCCGCCTCCGAACCGGGCGGCAGTCGGCGCGGGTTGATTGTTTCATTGTTTCCGACCCCACTGTCAAATGCCGCCGCGTTGAATGGGGTTATTGTTGTTTCAGGCCGCGGCGCAGGCAATCCAAGGGTTTTCATGATCCCACCCGACTTGCAGTTTAATGTAGAGGCATGTAAAGGCACGGGGTAGCTCGAAATCGCGTTACTTTCTTGGAAAACTCTAGCTATTTAGTATCTAGGAGGCGATCGGATCGGTGACACGCGTCTGAACAATGTTGATCTTTTCTAGACTTCAATTCTCTGATTGCGTTATCGCGATATAGCGATACGTGCAATGGTTTGATCAATGTTGCGAGTTATAAAGGATTTCTGTGTGTTGCAAAGGGAATAGACTTCGAATAGAGACTTTCGGAAGGCGCTTAGGTTTAGTTGGAATGTGGTATACTGAACATATTGTAGATTAGACAATGGAAATTTGTATATTGAGGTTTCTAATAGAATTTTAAACAATACGATATTCTATCTTATTATAGATAATCAAAATTGTTATCCCGAAACTCCCACTTCACTCAATTTCCCAGCTCCAATCGCAAACAAGGTCAACTTTATTTCTTCCTATATTTCACAGATTCTAGAAAACTGCGTCGAATCTCAAATTCGTTAACATCTTTACATCAATACACTTTGAAAATAAAACGTTTTCGCAAGAATATCGCAATACTAACTGTCGAAGAAACGCAGACATTCCAGCTAACGCAATAGTTGACGCTAGAACTACCGAACAATAAGACACAGCTATTTGTGATTCGTTAGAAGAATTAGGAAAGCAGATTTCTCGAGGTTTAAAGAGCTTCCTATTGCTGCACCTGCACAAATGCAGGAATCCATTTTGGAATTTCTTACGAAAGCATCTTTATCATCTTAACAATGGCAGTTCTAGTATTAATAAAAAGCAAGAACCTCCTGACATCAGTTGCAAAGTTCCCGAATCCCAGCGATCGCCGGCGATGTTCCCGGTAACAAATTACGTTTTAAAAGACTCTCCTTCAGGACGCGGCCGGCCAGTTTATCTCCATTCGTTCCCGGCACTTTTGCAGGCCAGTGGCGACCGCTTTTCGGGGACGTCAACCACCCGGGAACTAGTAAAATACTAGGCGGGGGCAACATTTCACGGACGGATCTCCGTGACCCGGACCGCGGCCGATACGATCGTCGCATTTCCCGTGGACGCTCATATATAAGGCAAACTTATGCCGAGCGTAAATTCCCTGGTATTGGCCATGGCTATCTTATCACGGCTACGCTTTTCCAAGGCGCCCGATAGACCATGCCCAGACATTATGCGAAATTGAAAAACCGAAAGCGGCCGCTGGCCGCCGCCACGACCACTTCCGGTTAAGATGAACGGAGGGCTGGTCGCGCTCGCGGGATTGAAATCGGTGGATTGATGGGGGTTCGCTTGATAATTTATGGTTAGAAC